TGGGAAAACGTGCACTACACTTACGGACTAATAACCTCAATAGTTGACGCGTCCAGAATCACTAACAACCAACCTTAGTATAAAATTAAGTACAATTTTTCAGCCTTAGAGATCTCTTTTGGTGTAATACTATACGAATCACTAACTACATTTTTTAAGAAATTCATAATTAAAAACACATCTCAAAACAGAATGTGTTTTAAACATCGGCACAAAATAATCATAATAGCTCCTGTTCTGATGTAGAGAAGCTAAGCATTGATTATTGGCGAGAGGTCGAAGGCCTTGAAACGCGATTGTCTCCCTTTCCCACCAGAATAAACAGCATAGGAAAAGTTATTTTATCAGCACTCTCCGGCACAGGTACACCCGTTTAAAAAATCAAGCAAATTTATACATCGAGAAGTAGGGTTTATGGATTTTCTTGTCGTCAACTTTTTCAGGTAACACGGCTCAAAGGTTTCAAAGCGTGAATATGTGCAGCCTAGGCATCTACAAACTCAAAAGAGGAAAACAGAACCGTGGCATTCTAGCTACGAGGATCAATAGCTTATTCAGGTAACAGGTAGAAAGGTTGGGAAGGGATAATTAGAGGCCCTCTAGCTGAGGGCGGTCTCATTTAGACCTCAGACGGGTGAAATATTCGCATGTCGCAACGTAATTATTTTAATATTTGGCGTTGCGTTGCGTTCATTTTGCTTAAAATCAGTCTTATTTTCATAAAGTATTAATACTTCCTTTTTAATTTATAATAATGAATTTTAATGAGGTGTTTGCATGCTTATAATTCAAACAAAATTTTTATTCTACCTTTAAAGCATTAACTTATAATTTATATTACAAATATGATTGATTTATTTTTACATTTTATGACCGTCTTTTGTTAAGTGACTTTTCGTATTTTGATTTATTAAGAATAAAATTAATATTTATTTTGAAATTGCAATCCAGTAATTGACATAAATTTATAATATGAAAGGTTTACAAACATGAACGATTCTTTTTCGAGGGATTGGGGAAGGGATGGTAAATGAATTTTCCTAAAGCAAACGCAGTGGATAAATGCTCTTTTCAAATTTCATTTATTTATTGGATACCTTCATCGGATTTTAGATGTTTCCGCAGGAAGCTGCAAACCGGTGCGCGTTCAAAAATGTAACCGCTCGCTTCGCAGCGGCCATGGAAAACTATGGTCATGGAATAACACTAGGTTGCGTTCACATATCCGCTGTTCATTTTAAAAAAAGGTGATGAAAACAAACATGTTGTTTGTGAAAAAGTGTGAACAAAAAGAATTGTGTATCAGTTTGCACCATTTCGATTCGTAACACCGATTCCATTTAAATATACCACGTAGTATTTCCTACAAATCATCTAACTCTTCTGTACACTGTAATATTTTCTATCATCCAATATTTTTTCTAATCTTCGTATTCATGCCTCTCAGATCTCTTGTTTCCAAAGTTTCATCCTTTCTATTACTACAATCCCCTCTTAACGTTTTTCCAAATACCTTTTTAATGTCGATAAGCATACTTTATACATTGATGATTACCAGGGGTATCCTTGTCTAAACTATATTTGCCCAAAATACATCCCCTTCTAAAACAGCCACTCTTACCCTCTGTCTCATTTTTAAGTTGATCTTCACCCAATTAAAGCTCATTATTAGTTCGTTAGCATTACCAGACTTAGAATAGTAACTACAGAAATATATTTGCCTTCACCGGTGAAAAGATCGAGATAATGAGTCGAATGACAGCGGTCGAAGGAGACAGTAGGTCGGTGACAGAGATGAGAAGCTCAGAAGCTGTCAATATCTTGGTTTCCAAAAGATACTGTTATCTAGGCCCTCCAAGTATGACATTCGTGATGTTGACATCTGTCGATGTGGTTGTGCATATTAAATTGTTGAATGAGAAAAGTCACCAACGCACAGATGCAATTTAAGTTGGTATAATTTGCAAGACGTGCAGAGTTTACCTCATAGAAGAGTGGGCACTTTATTGTCACCGCAGTGGTGACGCAGAAGTGAAATGTGCATTGATATGATGCCCAAGTTAAGATTGTTTCGGAAGTTATTCTGTAAGTTTGTATAAGTTGCATGACTTCAATGCAAAGTACATTATATTATTAGTTGTGTACAGTGGTAGCCCGTGGGTTGAAAATTAAGAGGTGCCGAAATACGACATACTTTTTACCTCTCCAATATATTCCTTGATCGAGGAAAACTTCAGGATGTAGTGTACAACCGATTTGAATGCATTTGCACAACTTTCTCACTGATAATGGAAGAAACAATTGTGCTCAGGCGGAAATAAATTAAAAATATATTTCCAGCGAAGGGAATAGTAATTTATGAAATCAAATGGTTATTATAGTTTTGTTCTGCAGAGACCGTGTGTATTAACTGAACTAAAACTACCGAGCCTTGGTAGTTTAAGTTTTTACTAAAACCTCGGTAGTTTTAGTTAAGTTAATAGACGCGGTCTCTGCAGACCAAAACTCTAATAACAGTAAACTGCCCTCACCCAATTCTCAGTACCCCCATTCTTTCTCAAGCTTCCATTACCTCGCATGCACCAGCAACGGATGGACTCGCGATAACCCCCGATAGGACCTATTCTAAAAACATAATATTTTGCTTAAGAGGACACATAAAACTATATTTGTTCTCAAAAATTGCGCTGGTGCGACGCACAAATTAAAAGATTCGATTTATTGAAAGTTTAAAACTTTCTGCAATTTTTCCTGAGTTTGTTTTTTCTGTGAAGGGCGCCGCTCTAGGCTGCCACTACCGGTTGTGAAGTAAAGAACTGTGTACATCCTGAATGAAACATTATGTGGAAGTGACCCTGTAATTAAAGTGATTCAGGTCAACCAGCGAACAAGTAATTACCCCTCATTTCCCTTACTTCAGTGGGAATTAGCTGGGAGAAAAATATCATCCTTTGTTCTCCCACTCACGCCATTCTAATAATTATTCTCTGGGTATCAATTACTGATGCCAATACTATCTTACTAAAATATAACCCAAAACAATTCTCACAATAAAAACGCGAGTGTGTTAATTTCAATTTCAATTCTTACATTTCTATTACTTGATTAGCAAACATTTATTTTTCAACGATTTGCATCCTCTTTGTTATAATGTTTCAGCAAATAGATTTAATATTCCCTCCCCTGTGCCCTTATATTCTGACTTGTAAAGCCTCTCTTTCGAAACATAAATTTCTACGTTCCGATGTGGCGCCCGGTATCAACGGATGTCAGGTATCAACATTGCCGAACTAAATGTTCCTTCTTTATCTCCCAATCCAATAGTAGTAATACTCATATTTCACGAACGTCTGTTTTTTCTCAAAATTCCCGTTCTTCGATCATCCCGTGATTGCTAATCTGGTTGGCCATTATCTGAATTTGTATTTTCCTGGAAGGTTCTGTGTTCTTTGAACGGCTATTGGACGAAGAGGTTCCTGTCTTGCTTGATCTCATTATGAGATTACATGATCGACCGAGGCGTTCTCGTTTCAAACGTTTCCAAAGAGATTGCCGAAGTACATGGCACTCGTTGTGTACGTGCGTGACAAAGAGTTTGTTTTCAATAGCGCTCAAGAGGTTTGGAGGATATACTGTATCGCTTGACTGGATGTTCGACGTGTCATGTGAGGGTTTTGTGACAGCCTTCTGCGGTCGGAGTCAGTATTAACTTGGCTGTCCGGGTGGCGCCGCGTCCATGGCGAAGGTGCCAACGTTTGGGTCGCCATTCTGCTACCTTCCTTAGGGTGTAATACAAGGGCATTGCAAGGGCATTACGCCCTGAGGAAGGTCGCAGAACGGCGACCGAAACGTCGGCACCTTCGCCATGGACGCGGCGTCACCCGGACAGCCAAGTAAATATGTGAGGGTTTTCTTTCTTCACGCAGACAAGCTGTCGCTTTGTGCGAGGGCCGTAATCCTTGCTCAGGAGAATTCTGAGATACCACTGACCGTTGTCCAGGTCTGCTCACAGCCTTCCGTGGTGAGGAAGAGTCGTCCAGCAGCGCGAAGCATGACTAATTAGGGTTGAGGGCACGGAAGGCGCCTGTCGCATTACCGCAAAAGGGAGCATGAAAGTGCGATGCATTTCAAAAAGGAGGCTAGACGTGTTGCACGGAATATAGTAGAATATTTGCCCAGGTGCTACAAAATAAATCCGCTTCCGAGCTGGGGTGAGATAGTATCTCACCACGGAATATAGTAGAATCTTCGAGTGTAGATAGAATATTCGCCCAGGTGCTACAAAATAAATCCGCTTCCGGGCTGGGGTGAGGTAGTATCTCACCCCGATGGTTTCTAACGCCAGGTAATGCGACTTAGCTAGCGCTCACAAGAAGAGGATTCAGTTTATTGATTGAAGTTTGAGGACACATCAACTGTTAAGGTCATTAATCCGGTTAGTGTACGGAATGTTTAACGCGGAAGGTGACAGTGTTCCTCGTCGGCCGGATGATGAGTACCGGTGTCGACCTACACCGCGGCTAGCGGGGTGTCCCCCAACAGGTATCTCCCATCAGCTAGGCACTGCTTAAGCCGGGACTAGCTCTAAACCCCCGATTGGTCTCTCGACATGTAATCGCGAAGTGTGTTTGTAAGTAAGGGGAGGGTAAGGGGAGAGGATAAAAAATAGAATATTGCGCGGAGTATGGGGAACTTCTAGGGCATTCACCTGGTATTAACCGGAGAGGCGAATCGGCGTGAATAGTTACGATGAGGCGATCGAACTGCAGGGATGAACTACGGAAAGCTATGTGCAACAAGTGCCTTCGTGATATTAACACATCGTAAAATGTTTCCAATACAAAAGCCAATTGTTATGTTATCTCAAGTGTCTGTAGACCGATTAATTTCCTAACGACTCAAATATGTCTCACATTAAGAACTTTATATTGGTCCCTTAGAAATGCATTTCATAAATTCCCATGGGACGTTTTTCTGCCCAAAAAATCCACCGTCCTCACCGAGGATCACAGTGGCAGCTTTATAACCTCGGAGTAAATGATACACCATTAGAGGAGTGCCGAGGACAAATACTGGCTCCAGCCACTTTGTCTCGCCTCCGCCCGAAATATCCTGCGCTCGCATCCCGGTCCTTCGCCGCAGCCTCCCCTCGACGTGGCGACCGTCTCCGCCGCAACGTTTCACGCTGTCGAATTTTAATGAAGAGCGTTCCGTCTTTGTGGGACGGCTGCAGGCATTCCTGGGCGTTTAATTAAGCCTGGCTATGGCCTCTCTCGCAGCCGCCGCCGCCGCCACCGCCGTC